GGAGGGAGCCACGAGACTCAGGAAGCAAGCTCACCTCACAAATCCTGGAGAGTGAAGATTACGAGGTTTCCAGGGCCCCTCCCCGAGATGATAGCAATCAATAATTGCTGAGGAGGAGGCAGAGTTGCCTGCAGGAGGTGCACCAAGCTGTCCAGCCATTGGCAGGTTGGCAGAGAGCTCCAGAATACAGCTGTCATGCATTGTCACCAGCTGGGTAGTCTTTTTAGGAATGCAGCCATTAAGTAACCATTCACCAAAACTCCCAAGAATAATCCCGGGTGAAGTCATGGCGCATCAACTTTGCTTTTGCTAGAATCGCTCTTTTGACCTGTCAATGGTTCCCTAACCAGGGGGAAGAGACGTCTGTGCTGTGTCTCCCCAGGAAAGTCCCACACAACATCAGTGAAAGGATCACTTCCTCAAGGATTGTTTCCTTGACATTGTCAAGGTGTGCTTTCACTGTTTCTATGGTAGTTCAGAGAACACCTCAGGTCTCTACTTCATGGCAATGTCCGTTCCCTAATTTATACCATCTGTAGTAGCCAATGAGGCCCAAGAGATCTAGAACTACAGATAATCCCCCTTTGGTGCTGCTCTCCAGTCCGCCATGGTATGTGCTCAATAAACATTTCAGGAACGAAAGAAGTTTGATTAATAGCATTTGTGAGACTGATCTTTCCTTTCCTTTCACCCTCTACTGGCTACAGTTGTTCACATCGTGGCAAGCGGCTGGTACATTTTTGCTCCTGAGTACAACTCTTTTGAAAGGTTGCTATCACTGTGTATTTCTATCACCTACTGTATGGACACAGTGTCTTGGTGCATAGAGGTCAGGGTGCTGGCTGCTTGTGCATGCAGCAGAATCCCCCCACCCCCGCTTCTCCGGGACTTTGGCTGATAAAGCAGTGGTGTCTTCCACCTGCCTTCCCCTGCCCAGAACGGCGGGAGTCTTTAGAGAGTTTTCTCTCCAGGCAGAACTCAGACTCTCTGGGTTCTTTTCCTAATTTAGTTGAACCACTAGAGGGGGCAGTGACATTCTCTGTGGCACCTCGATGTAGGATTGTAGGGTCAGATGGGTTTTACGGACCTAGGGCAGACTTCTCCCATCTGATAAACCAAGGAACAGAGTGGAAACGGGAAAAGCTTTTCCTAAGGCTGTGGACTTAGTCAGTGGCTTCCCCCCTCCTCGGGATTCTACATGTAGCACACTTATCCTGTTTCCAGGCCTGGGGGGACGGGGGTCCTACAGGTTATCTGGATATGGCTCATGTGTGATCAGGCCGATTAACTCATCCAGAATTCCCTGGGCTGCTAACGTTTTTTTGTTTTTAATCTAAGTTTATTTATTAATGGTCCATATGTGAGCATGTGAGCTGGAGGGAGGAGAAGCATGTGGTGATGGAGGTTGTGCTGGACCTCAGTTCTTTTAGAAAATGAGATGTAGCAGACAGTGATGGCTATTGCCCTTTTCACCAGTGCTGGCTTCCTGTCACCCCTCTGCCAGTAACCATCCCCCTCCCCGCCACTTGCAGAGGCATGGGCCGGGGGCAGTGTAGGCTAGCCATAGCTCCCCCATTCCTCCCTGACAGAGGGATGATTCAGGGGAGGGTATGAATTTCAGGTGGGTCTATGAGAGGCCTCCCCAGAGTCTTGAAACTCCTAATCCTCCTGCCTCCATCTCCCAAGGACTGGGATTACAGGTGTGTGCCAGCATGCCCAGCAGAGGAGTCTTGTTTAAAGGGTAGTTAAGAGAGCTCTGCAGAGACCCAGAGAGACGATCCAGGCAGGGGACAGAGCCCCAGTTCCAGCCCTTCCGCCCTGGCGCCTGCAGCACCTCTCACACTCTTGGTGTTGCCCTGTTATGCCACCTAAAAACAGGCTTTTCCGTTCCTTTTTTTTTTTCTTCAAAGATAATTTGACTTGGATGTTTGTCATTCATGATGAAGAATTTTACTGTAATTCTACAGATTGTTAGAACTTTCCAGAAATAGCTCTGAAATTGAGTGGATGTGCTGTGTCTCTTGTTCCCAACCAGCTGGTCCCCTTTCTCTCCTCAGCCTCTCTTCCACCTTCATGTTGTGGTAGTTTGGATGTAATTGGCCGCCATAATCCCATAGGGAGTGGCACTATTAGGAGATATGGACTTGTTGGAGGAAGCGTGCCACTGTGGGGCTGGGCTTTGAGGTTTCCTATGCTCAGGACACCGCCCAGTGTCTCAAGTCAGCTTCCTGTTGCCTGCAAGATGTAGAATTCTCAGCTACTCCTCCAGCACCATGTCTGCCTGCACACCGCCGTGCTCCCTGCCGTAATGATAAGGGACTGAACCTTTGAAACTGGCAGTGAGTCTTCACTCAGCCAGGAAAGACGTGGTACCAGTGAGGCCCAGGGCACGGACACATGATTCAGTTGCTTCTGCACTTGTCTGTAACACAGGTTTTACTCTAAAACTCCAAGCTGTTTGCAGTTCATCCCTTGAGTGGTGTGCCAGTATGGCTCATCTATATGGGCAGTACTGGGTAGTTTGAAGTGTTGCCCTGAATTTAGGGAACAGCATTCAAGTCCTCACTCTGAGTTTCTCTTATTAGAAAGCAACAAAGTAAGCCATCTTACAGCTCCAGGCCTCTACTGACCAGCTTAAAACCATAGTACCTGAACAACCTGATCCTAAGATATGTTCTGGCCTTAAAATTATATTATCAACAAAGGACAATTCAATACATATTTTGAGAACTGCGTGTTGATTTAGCTGATCTTGTGAAGTCCACCCCCAAATCACGTTTAACTTCACTGTTCTTTTCATGAGCGCCTAAGGCAAGCCAGATGCAGTATCATTCAGTATCTTCCAAATAGAAATCTCTGCTTCTGCCAGGGAAGTACAGCCCTGCCCTCCTTAGCAAATCATTTATTACCTACCCTGAGGGTTGAGCACACGATATGGCAGGGAGAGCCAATGCCTTCTTCTGTAATATTAATTACTGTGAAGTAGCAATTCTGTACTTCGGGGTCTGGGAGGAAAGAGCTTTCCTCACATTCTCACCTCTGCCTCCCAGACTCCCTCGACACATCCACCTCCCAGACTGTGAATAGCCAGGGTTGCTAGGAGACCTGTCGACTGTGGAATAAAAAGGGAAGCAGCTACTTCCTGGATGCCCCATCTAGTTTGAAAAGATGGAGTTAAAGTACAAGTGGAGGTGGGAAGGGAGGGGAGGAGAGGGGGGAGGGAAGATACACGTGAGAATCTTGTCATGCTTGCCAGGCCTAAGCTCCTCTCCAAGAAGCAGTGAGCTAAACTGGTTTGCTCTGGGAGGCAAGGCAATACAGTGAGGCTCAGCCTAACTGGGTGGAGGGTGACCAGTTAGACACTGATGAGACCCATTTAGGACACAAAGTTAAGGGTAATTTAAGGAATGCTTGGGAATGTAGCTCAGTTGGTAGCACGGATAAAGCTCGGGGTTCGAGGCCTAGCACCACGTAAAAACTGAGCATGGTGGTACACAGCTGTAAGGCCAGCGCTCAGCAGGTAGAGGCAGGAGGATCAGGAGTTCAAGGTCATCCTCAGGTACATACTGAGTTCAAGGCCAGCAGGGCTACATAAGACCTGTTCTCAACCCAAGCTCTTCCCCAACAGTAAGAGCATTCTCAGGTGAGGTCTACCCAGTGGTTTCAGTTACCTTCCTGTTGCTCTGATAAGACACCCTTACAGAAGCAATCTAGGAAGGAAGACTTTACTTCAGCTCTCAGTTCCTGGGCACCGTCCATCATGGCAGGGAGGTTAAGGCCACAGGAGCATGGAGCAGCTGGTCACATGACAGTCTAAGCCAGGAAGAATGAGACGAATGCTTGTGATTGGTTCACTTTCCCCTTCTGGTGGGTTGAAAGAAAATGGCCCCCAAGAAGGAAGTGTGACTTTGTTGGAGTAGGTGTGGCCTTGTTGGAGGAAGTGTGTCACTGTGGAGGCGGGCTTTGAGGTCTTCTATGCTCAAGCCACACCCAGTGTCTCAGACCACTTCCTATTGCCTGTGCAAGGTGTAAGAACTCTCAGCTTCTTCTCCAGCACCACGTCTGCCTGCATGCTGCCTTGCTTCCTGCCATGATGACAATGGACTGAACCTCCAAACTGTAAGTCACCTCCATTAAATGTTTTCCTTTATAAGAGTTGCCATGGTCATGGTGTCTTTTCACAGCAACAGAAACCCCGACTAAGACACCTCTCCTCATATGATCTGGGATCCCAGCCCAGGGACGGTTCCACCCACAGTGGGTAGGGCTTCCTATCTCAATCTAATCAAGATAATTCTTCGCAGGCATGCCTAGATAGGCTCATATCCCAGGTGATTCTACATCTTATCAAGTTGACAGTTGAGAAACCATCACACCTATTCCACCATACTATTGGGTTTCTGGACATATCTGTCATATGTGCCAAGCCCAATAAATGGTTATTATTGTTTTGATTGTCCTTGTAGGTATAGATTTTGTCTCTGTAATTATTTTTAAGTCATTATGGATTAAAAACACTTTTTTAAAGACATGGTCAAGTTATGTAGCCTCAAACTCCTGATTCTCCTACCTCAGCTTCCTGACAGCTGAGATTACAGGCATGTGCCACCAAACCCTACTTTACATTACAAATGTCTTTACCATAGACCTGTCATCACTTAATATCTGTCTAAAAGCATATTATCCTATTCCTACACATGTCTGAAGCACATACTGAGAATCAGTTTCCTTCATCTAACCCACACGCACCATGGTCCCCAAGAGTTGTCCCATAATCCAATCCAGATAAGCTGAACTAGCTAATGAAACAAAATGCACCACCTGCAACCAATGTCTTATCGGAAAAGAGTCACTGTCCTTCCATTCCTGTTCTCAATGTTTCAGCTAAGCTGAGTGTGGCATGTGCTTGAAGTTCCTGTGTTTGGTGGGGCTCACACCTCCCTTGGGTACACCTGCTGTCCACCTCATTTTGGCACGTGACCTGGACAAAGCTGCCTTACCTGATTTTACTCAGGCTGGTTGCTCACAACAGCAGTTTCTGAGGCAGGGGGCTGGCAGTGAGTTTTCTGTTAGGAGGGATCACATCCTGTAAAGACAAAACATTTCCAGACATGTGGTGGTCGGGTCATGTGAGGTCTGGGATCATCTGGAACAGTGAGCTTCCGGGAATGCTGCCTTTAGCAACTTTGCCTGGCAGACACCGGAACACAGCTCTTTCTGGATTCAGAAAAGAAAACAAAGAGAGCAAAAACACCAAGTGATGTGCTAGCTTCAAAAATGTGAGGAGAAAGAGCATCTGAAAATCAACCCATGGACCTTCTACACCTCATGCCGCAGGACTCAGACTAATTGACAATTCAAAGGACTGGGGTGGGGGTGGGGCTTTACGTGGTCCAAACTTCGGCCACTTGTGTAGATCATTTCTGAAACTTAGGTGCAGATGAAGGTCTTCAGAACGATTCTCAAAATCCTGCTTTGGTTAAGCAGCTCCAGAGCCATGGCCTTTAGTCATGCCAGTCTCTGCTCTGCCCTCTGACTCCCTTGATGCGTGTGTGTGTGTGTGAGTGTGTGTGTGTGTGTGTGTGTGTGTGTGTGTGTGTGTGTGTGTGTGTGTTTGTACTACCTCTGAAGCCTCAGCTGAACCATATATGGAAGGTAGCCAGGGAGAAGGGGGTCCATCCTTCCAGCATGAATTCCTGTGAACTGTAGTAAGGAAAGGAAGTGATAGACAAGTATGGAATCTTAGAAGTGCAAATTTTGCCTTTGTTTTTCATGATGATGTTTCTGACCCAAAATTCCAGGACTACTTAAAGATGTACTCATCCGTACTCTTCTTGGAGGCTCATAAATTAGTAACATGTTTATGTATCTGCTTTAATGTTGTCTACTGCACACACACATACTTATATCTCTCTGGATAATGCATATCACACACATAAGCATTACATATATTTTATATGTGCACACATTATATAAAGTTTTATATTTATATAAAATGTGTCCTCAGGTAATATTACACATACATTGAAGAGAAAAGTTTTGTCTGTCTTTCTCTCTCTCCTTTCTTTCTCTCCTTTCTTTCTGTTATCCCTCCCCTGCCCCTTCAAGTTTTCTTCAAACTATCAAACCTAATGTATAACTTCCTCCCAGCCTCCTTCCTCTTACCTATGCTGAAAGTATCTTCTCTCGAAGCAGCAGGGTTGCTCTTGTGTCTAGTCCTCACACTTGAAGAAAAACCATCTACTTTTGCCCTCTCTACGTAAACAAAGGAGAGCTTTGGCCGCCCTACGCTCCACTGTCTCTTCATTCTCACTAAGAGGAACAGGAAGTAGTAAGCAGAGAAGATGAGCCCTCTGGGGGCCAGGCCAAACTGGACAACAGCCAGGATTCAAAGACTTTTTTTCAGTTTTCAGCTCTGTGCCAGCTGCAGATGAGCACAGTTTGCTCTGCACTGCTGTCCTCTCTGTCCTGTGTCCTCTTCATCAGTTACATAAGGAGCTTCGTGCATGTGTGTGTGTGTGTGTGTGTGTGTGTGTGTGTGTGTGTGTGTGTGTAGGGGGGGTCAATATAAAACGTTACATTGCAAAAATCCCTCTCTGAAGACCTCATGCTCACAGTCTCCCCACTTTTCCTTACTTTGAATATGCAGCACAGTCCACATAGACCTGTACGTGCATGTCACCTCTATGGTTAACAGCTCAACTCTGGATCATTGTGCATCATCTGTGTTTCAAGGTTATGTCCTTTAGCTATCTGGCATGGCTTCTGGAACCATGGAGTTTATAACCCAGAATATTATACATTCAAAGCATGTGGGGTTTGCTTAGGATGTTTATTGTATTCAGGAAGCTCAGGTTCCTTTTAAACGTAAAAAACATTATGTATATTTGCTTCCATGTATGTATGCACACCATGTGTGTGTTTGGTGCCCATGAAGGCCAGAAGAGAGTGTCAGATGCCCTGGAGCTGGAGTTACAGGTGGTTGTGAGCCACCCCAAACCTGTGCCCTCTGCAAGAGCAGCAAGTGCTCTAACTGCTGGGCCGTTCTGTGACAGTGGAGGTTGAGCCTCACATTGGTGGAAGGAAGTCTCTTCAGAAAGATGCTTAGGGTGAAGTCTGAAGGAAGAGCAGGGGACAGCCAGGAGGAACGAGCTAGGCGCGGGTGTTGGAAGGAAGAGATTCCTGTCACAGAAAAGAGCTTCTGCCTGAGGCCTAGAGGAGCCGATGCTCATTGAGGATGCTCTCTAGGACGTCAGGCAGCAGGCATGTGTGAGGGACGAGCTCCCTCTTCCGAGGAGCCCACCCTTCACACATCCTCTGTGTTAATCCGCTTCCATCACTGTGACAAAACCCGGGAGATAAACAACGGAAGGAAGAAGGAGGGATTTCCTTGGCTCAGGGTTTCTGAGATCTCAATCTGTGGGTCTTTCGGAGCCATCGTTTCTGGACACGTGGTCAGGCTGAACATCATCACAGGGTGCGTGTGGTGGGCAGTTTGCTCCTTCATGGCTTCGAAGAGCAGGGGGACTCAATCCCTTCGAGGGCACGCCTCCAGTGACCCAGCTTCCTCTCACTAGTCTGTGTCTCCTGCAGGTTCCACACCCCCCAACAGCAGCCAAGCCTTCAGCATAGAGCTTTTGGGGGACAGTCCACATCTAAACTCCACCTCTCTTCTTCTCAGACACCCCGTCTGGTTTTTTTTTTTTTTTTTTGTGCCAGCAGCTTGGCAGGGCAGAAGCAGTTGTCTGGTAGGGCATACTTCCAGTCCCCTTGTATTCAGAGGGGACTCTGCCAAAGATCACATGCAACTTAGTTTGACTCAGCTTTTCCTATGCTGAGAGATGATCAATACCTGAGAAAACAAAAGCAAAATCTGTGTGAGACAAGGAGAGGATTGATAACATTCCAGGTCAGAGAGGAGCCGCATCAGACTCTGCAACTGCAGAAATGGGGCCCAGCTGCTGTTTCTGTTTCTTTTCTTTGTGTGTGTGCATGCTCACATGCAAGCAGACATATGCGCGTGTGTGCATGCTCACATGCAAGCAGGTATATGATCATGTGTGTGCATGCTCACATGCAAGTAGGTGTGTGTATATGTTCACATGCAAGCACAGGTGTATGTGCATGTGTGTGCATGCTCACGTGCAAGCAGGTGTGTGTCCCAGTGTTCAGACGCATGTGAAGGCTGCAGGATGACACTGGGTGTCTCCCTCAACTGTTCTTCACCTTATTCTTTGAGACAGTCTCTCCCTGAAACCGGAGCTCACCAGGTCAGCTGGACTGGGGGCCAGCACATCTCCAGCCCTGGAGTTGCAGGTGTGTCCTGCAGTGCCTGCTTTTAACACGGGTGCTGCAGACGGAGCTCGGGTCCTCGCACCTGTGCAGCAGGCGCTTTCCTGGCAGCCATTTCCCCAGAGCACCCAGTTGCGGTTTCCATCCATTGCACTTATTAGAGTCTGCATCAATTATTTTTTCTCTTCAACATTGTTTTTAATTATCTATCGAAGCTTTTGGGGCTTAATGAATTGTTTCACTCGGCTAAGTGTTGGGATTACTGCAGAAAACACTTACCATAATGTGTGTCTATTCTGACTGTCTTCTCTCTCTTCCTCAGTTGGAAACCATTTTTTTTTTTTTTGAGCTAATGTTTGATGTCTCTGGGCACCCATTCAAGGTGGGAATGGCAATCTGTTCTGGATTAATCTACGGATAAAACACTTTTAGCTTCATTTTAGAGTGAAAATTCAACCTTACTAGCAATTATGCCATGTTTACATATCTACTCTGTTTAAAAACCCCTCACTTCTCCCTCGTATCATCACAAACTATGGGCAGGCATAGGTGTAGAATCAATAATGGTATAAGAATTGTCCTCTTTGGAGTATTGAAATAAATCCTGTTATATATTGTAGTTGTTTGAAAAAAAGAATGGCCTCCATAGGGAGTGGTACTATTAGAAGGTGTGGCCTTGTTGGTGTAGGTGTGGCCTTGTTGGAGTAGATGTGGCCTTGTTGGAGTGGGTGTGGCTTTGTTGGAGGAAGTATGTTACTGTGAGGGTGGTCTTTGAGGTCTCCTATGTTCAAGCTACACCCAATGACACAGACCACTTCCTGTTACTTGCAAGTCAAGATGTGGGACCCTCAACTCCAGCTCCAGCACCATGTCTGCCTGATGATAATGGACTAAACATCTCAAAATGTAAGCTACTCCAATTATATATTTTTCCTGTATAAGAGTTGCCATGGTCATGGTCTCTTCACAGCAATAGAAACCCTAAATAAGACATATATGAACTAAAAATATATTTCAGATGTGCAAAATTCAGTCAATCAGATGTTTAGTTCTAGCTATAATGAAGCAGAGGACAGTTTTATCATCTGTGATAATTAATCTTAATTGTCAGTTTGAGTAGATTTGGCATCACCTAGGAGACACATCTCTTTGTTCTGTATACTTAGTGTTTTAATTATGATATGCTATGGGCCGTTTCTTTCTTGGCCTGGTCTAGTTGGGGTTCTATGTGTTCCTTTTATCAGCATGTGAATGTCTTTCCTTGGTTTGGGAAAGTTTTCTTCTATGATTTTGTTGAATATCTATGTCATTGATTAGGAATCCTTCCTCATTTATGCCTATAATTTAAAAGTTTGATCCTTTCATGGTGTCCCACATTTCCTGTGTGTTCCTTTCTTGTGTTAAATCTTTTTCAAATTCTTTGCTTATTTCATCTCAATCCTCTACTTTATCTCTAAGTCCTAATGTTCTATCTTCTGCTTGTTCATTCTACCCATAAGGCTTTCCTTAGGGTGTTCTAGCTAGGTAGTTGGGTTTTTCAATTCCATCTTTTTTGAAGCTTGAGCTTTCTTCAATATTTCTACGTCTTTATTGAACTCCGTTTTCGAATCCTGGATTGTTTCCATCAGCCTTAGGTTTGTGTTTTCCTGGGCATCATCAGGTGTTTATTCTCTTTAAGTCCATTGAGTTGTTTCTTTCTGTCTTCTTTAAACTCCTTGAATTTTTGGACTAAGTTTATGATTACTCTTTTAAATTCTGTGTCTTGGGGTTCATCTAGGTAATTCTTATTGCCAGACATTTCTATAAGACTAGTGGATTTTTTAGGGGGGGAGATATTGCCTTAATTCTTCATGTTGTCTGTATTTTTGCAAGGAGATCTGGGCATGTGAACTTCTTTTGTTCTGTGTCGGAGATGGACAGAGCAGGTTGGGGCAGGAGAGAAGATGTGTGCATTGGGTTGGGCCCAGAGGTTGGACATGGCTTAGATGTAATGAAATCAGGTGAACATAGGGAACTAGTTGATATGCAGGTGCTGCATACTGATCCTAGCTTGGAGTATGGGGGTAGATGGAAGGTGGGGTTGCACAATCCTTAGTGTGTGGCCTTTTCTCTGATGGGCTCAGTATGTCTCCTCCATGTCCTTCAGGTTCCACATTCTCATTCTAGGCAGGAGGAAGGAGGCAGGACCATAATGTGACTGTCAGCCAGTCTTTGACATTGTTTTTCATTGGTAAACAATCATCTTTCTACCATTTCTACTCAGTAGAATGCAGCTTACGTCTCATTGGCCAGCACTGTATTACTGGCTCATTCTTAACTGCAAAGGGAGCTGGGAGAGCCTCCTCACCCAATGTTTTTCCTATGTAAATGTATCCGATTTTCTCCCCTGGAGACATCCCGGTTTGCTCTGTCACCTCCTACATTGAATATGCTGTAGGCTTGATGCTCTGCCAGAGCCTCAGGACACGTCTATTTCCACCAGCCTAAGACTTTCCTTCCCCTCGGCAGAGTCACAGCCCCCGCTTCTCTAACAACTCTGCTTTCCTCTCTTGCCAGGTGATGCATATCCATCAATAGCTTTTGGAATAGGAAAGCGAATTTTTCAAGGTGTTGCATAGCTAGATATCTAGATTGTGTCACACTTGGATGGTAGCTGAACTGAGTAAACTACTAGATTAATACTCATTTTTTCTTTGGCTTTGGAAAAAAATGTTGCTTTTTAAAGATTTGATTGAAAAGCCTGATGTCATGCATACCATAGAATTTGTGCCTATAGATTTTTAATCTCTCAGCATTTTTGGTATGCTCTATCACTGGTATTCTGAAGGGGATTTTATTGGGCACTGATGGGCTTTTTAAATCTGCAGGTATATGTCCTTCAAATCTAGGAAAATTTTCATAGCATTTCTTTGACTCTTTCTTTAGTTCTACTTTCTATCGTGATGAATACTGTTGTACCTCTTGGATTATCTTTTGTATTGTCTTACTTTTGTCTTCTGGTGCCTTGTGTTTGCTAGACCAATGCTCCATGACTTAGCT